TTTATAGAACTCATAGTCCAGCGGGGGAAACAGATGACATGTGTGTAAATAGACAACTTATTTTCAGAGTAATGAGTGCTACGAAGGATATACAACAAGGCCATGGGATAGAGCTACTGGGGGTGGGTAGGGTTGCTTTAGAAGTGTAATCAGGGGAGGCCTCCTAGAGGAGGTGATGTTGGAACTGAGACCTTCCTAATGAGAAGGAGGCAGCAATGATAAGTGCTAGGAGAAGAAGGGTTTGGAGTTTTCCAAGAACAGCCAGGAGATCTGTGTTACTGGAGCATAGTGTGAGTAGGGGGGAGTGGAGATGGCTCTGGAGAGGCTGGTAAGGGCCAGATCATGCAGGGCCTGGAAGGTCACCATGCTAAGTACAGTGGGTAGCCATTGGAGGGCTTAAGAAGAGGTGCTCTGGGCCGGCCTCGTGGCTTAGTGGTTAAGTGCGTGCGCTCCGCTGCTGGTGGCCCGGGTTCGGATCCCGGGCGCGCACCGACGCACCGCTTCTCCGGCCATGCTGTGGCCGCGTCCCATATACAGCAACTAGAAGGATGTGCAGCTATGACATACAACTATCTACTGGGGCTTTGGGGGGAAAATAAATAAATAAAATCTTTAAAAAAAAATAAAAAAAATAAAAAAGAAGAGGTGCTCTGATTTACATGTTAAAAAGATGGCTTGGTGGGCTCCAGAGAATGGATTGGGGTAGGACGTAGAAGTGGGAGCCCGGAGATTAAATATGATGGTGGCTTGGACTCTGGTGTTGGCAGTGGGGACGTGAAGAGTGAATAGATTTGGAATATTTTGGGAGGTAGAAGCAATGGGATGTGCTGATGGCCTGGATCCCAGGGCCTAGAACACAGTGAACAATAAATATTTGTTGAATGAGTGAGTGAAGACACCTTCTTGGTGCCAGGCTCTTGCGCATACCCTCCAGTATAAGACATGTATGTAAAGATCACCCAGGACACTCAAGGTCTTCTCCACCCTCTGCCTCAGGGGCCTGGGGCCAGAGAATGCAGGCATTACCCAGAGGGCTGCACACAAAGCAGACACTGACCTGGGAAGATCTGGCTGGGGAGCAACAAATCCTCCCTTCTCTCCCTAATCTACAGCACCAGAAAAATGACGAACCCCTAGCTTGGCTCCTGACCCATTTGGCATCTGCAGCAGGAAGGATGGAAGTTAGACAAGCAGGACTTCCTGCAGGTGGAGAGGGCCAGTCCACCTTTTCCAGGATACCCCTCCAGGATCCCTGACATCCAGAGCAGTGAGGTATTTGTCATATGAGCTCTGGGGCTGACCCTGGTAAAAGACTGTCACATGGATTTGGGTGTCTCTGGGTACATGTTATGAGCTCCTGATAGGTGTCGTGGGGGACTAGGAGACTTTGGTACCCAGAGCTTTGGGTTGCTGTGGGTGCCTGGCTGAGTGGCAATGGAGGGAGGGGCAGAGGGAGGGGTGCTCCTAGATCCCGGCTGGAAGGAAACCTGCCCAGGCTCTGGGCCAAATAAATCATTGGGAAGGGAAGAAGAACATTTTCTCATCTGTTTAAAGGGCAACGAAGCATGGCGGTGGCTGGCCCAGCGGGAGGCAGGCTGAGGCCAGGCGGCTGAGGCCCCGGTTGTTCCCCTCCTCAACCCACCATCCTCTCCCGAGCTGCCCCACTGAGGGCTGTGCTGCCTCCCGACTGGGCCACTGGTGGTTGTTACTGTTAACAAAAATACAAATTAATTGGTAATAAAATAATTATTTAAAAAGGCCCCTTTCAGAGGCATAGCTCTTATTAATCCATATCTTTTTTCTTACTGGAGCCCAGGTGAGGGCATTTATACCATTTCACAGATAAGGAAACAGAGGCCCAGAAAGCTGAAGGGACTTTCTCAAGATCACCTAGCATGGCAGTGTGAGAGCCCTAGAGAGCCTGACTGCTGGTTGCCTATGTGGCTCCATCCCATGAGAGGTTCCAGAGCGAGCCCCAGCGGGGCTAAAGGGCTGGGGTCATTGTCCTTTCCCCAGTCTGTGTGTGTTGGGGGGAGGCGAGGGGATGTGTTGAGGGGAGGCGAGGGGATGTCCCTTCACTCTGCCCAAGACCTCTGTGCTCAAGCTCTGGCTGCTGCCCCTTCCCCTGTCCTGTCTCAGCCCCAGGCTCCCCGGAGGCCCCTCCTGGGGCTAAGACTTGTTCTTCCCACCCCCGCCTGGGCTGTCAGAGAAGTAATTTCTCTTCAACCAGCTGGATTTGAATATGGAAACGATTTGTAATTACTCCAAGTCCTCCCGGGCGGCATTATCACCAGAGTGAGTCTGGAAGGGCAGGGGCTCCTGGGAAAGGAGGTGGGGAAACCCTGATGCAGGGAGGCACCTCGGGGAGAGCCTTCCAGAGGTTTGCCCTAGTCTAGACTGCTTTTGCACAACCCCTGGGAGGCCCTGCTCTCTCCACTCAGCTCCCACAGCCCTTCCTGCCTTGCTGACCTCCCCACCCCTCCCCGGTGAGCCCCTAGGGACGGGGTACCATCTCTGTCAGTCCCTCACTCTGTCTGACCACTTGTCTTTCCTAGGGCATACATTTTTGTGGCTGAATGAACGAGGTCAAGAAGTCAGAGGGCTACCAAGGAACAGAGAAACAGACAAAACGCTGTTGTCTATCCAGCCAGCCCCTCTGATTACCCCACATCCAGCTGGATCCTGGGGGGACGGGGAGGGCCTCAGGGATCCAGCTGCATCACATCTGCAAGAGACCTGCTGTGGTTTCTCTGGGCTCTGGGTCTCTAGTACACTAATATCATGAATATTCATAAAGAGGGAGGCAGGCTCCCTGTCGAGTGGAAGGGGCTGGAGCTCTGAAGGACAGGGTCCTAGAGGCTTCTGAGGGCCTGTCTTCACATCTCTGCCGGGACCTCATGTCCCAATCACTCTCCCCACCTTTGCCTACCTCCTAAGGCCTCAGCCTCAGCCACCCTATTGCTCCTCACAGTGCCCAAGTAAGGAGGCCCAAGATCTCCCACTGCCCTTGGGGTGGCTCTCAACACACCGTGCAGATGGCAAGGCCGCCTGGCTTGGCTTTCACAGCGGTGGCTGAGCCTCCAAACTCAGAGACCCGGAGCGTGTTTGAGGGTGCCCAGCAAGAACCCAGGAGCCCTGCCCGCCAGTGCTAGGCCCAAGGCACAGGCCTCCCTGGGCTCCCGCTGGGAAAGGAAAGGTGCCAGCCCTCCTCCCGGCTCATAATAATTCCCTTAAGGTGACGGGTGAGAATCCTTCATCGCCCCTTATTACCTCCTTCCATTAAAGTCGATAATCTCTCACAATCACTCACAACAAATGTCACAAATGTCACTGTGACTGCTGGAGCAGGGAGGGTCAGGGAGAGGGAGCAGGGGGCTTTTCTCTCTTCCTTTTCCTGGTCTTGCTCCTCGGGAGAGGTGAAGTCTTCTCATCCTGCCCTGGTCTCCAGGGTGACACAACTCCAGGGGCTTTAGTGGAGAGGTAGGGTTGGGATTGGGTAGACTGGGGACTTCCTTGCTCCCAGGTTTGGCCCCCTCCTGGCCAGAGAACCTTCAAAAAGTGGAGCTCCTGAAACCATCCCACACTCACTGCAAAGCTGCCCCCTGCTGGCTTCTCCTCTGACCACAGCCTTCTGATTAACCTGTCTTTGGCTGAAGTGGTGTGTCCTGATCTGCCCACCTTCCTGGTGGCAACATGCCCAGGCCACAAACCGCCGGACCAGGGCCCGGAGCCATGGCATTTCCCTGGGTACTGCTTGAACCGTGTGGGCTCTGGCCCCACCCAACTGTCCCTGGGCACAGTGCCAGGATGGGGAGGGGGCGGGTCTGTACATTTCTGCTGCTTCTACTCAAACAGATGCAACATGGGGGCGCCCCTGGCACAGGGAGAGGCACTTGTGGGAATAGACAGGCAGTCAGGAAAACATGTAACACACTGCACACGTGTAGCATCCCCGTGCCTAGGGACATGCAACATTGCAGAGTTTACTCCAGAGTATGCACCAAACATACCACACTGCAGTGCATGGATGTGGCTCCTACGTAGAAGTGACCCACAGCACTCAGCACATATGTGGCACTTGTAGGCTTGTATACATATAGCATTCCTACCCACAGGAACAAGCAACATGCATTCAGGACCTGAGCACATGTTAACACACTATGCATGTGTGTAGCAGTTGCACGCACAGAGCCAGGCAACATTACAGTGCACACATAGGGCACCTGTATGCATAAGCATGTGCAAAGTTCAGCGCACATCAGTTGCACCTTGCAGGCACAGGGATATGCAATTTACAATGCACGGGGGGAAGGGGAGACCCTGGCTACGCAAGATGCTTCTGGCCTCGGGTATCGCTGGAGGGGCATCGCGGATCGCCTCATCCTGCGGTCCAGGAGGCCGCGGGCAGGGCGGGGGCTTACCCGGGGCTTCTCCCGCGCCGGCGCCTGGGGCTCAGGGCGGGGAGGGGGAGGGTGCGCTTGGCTCGGGCTGGCGCTGCTCCCCCTTTAACAGGAGGCGG